CAGATTGAAAAATAAGACACAATCCATTCATGATTTCTATTGTTCAAAATTACCCCAAATTATCTAGGGCTATTAACTCTCAGCTGCAAAAATCCAGATGACCATAAAACGGCAACAATGCCTTAGGGTTTTCTGTATCTCTTTGTTGCCATCTAAGGTTATCTGGAATTTTTGTAGCCCAATATGGTAGCCCTAATTTAGTTCAGATTGGGTTATAGTTTTACTTGAGTTCAGGGTTAAGTACAAGGTACAGAACTACTACTACTAATTAAAAAAAATTAATTCTCTTTATCTTTTTCTTTGCTGACTATTTCCTAGGAAATCGTTACTGTTTTTCTGAGCGTCTGAGAATCAAAACTATATTATTGATAAAGCTCTATGTTTCTTAATTTAATTTAGGGATTGCTTTTTGGTCAGATACAATGCAAACCAGTTCTTCAGGCTTCTTTCAACTCCTGTTATCAACGCTATTTACTTACGGAAAAAGCACTTCTTGAATGTTATTCCAGATGGCTTTGCCTCCCATTATTATTGTCAGCTGTGTTGTCAGCTCAAGAAGACATCCACCTGGATCACACTAAGTTTGAAAGAATGGGGGGGGGGGGAATAAAGCATGGGATTACAATTTAGTCCCTGCAAAAAAATGTTCATAATGGTTTCTTAAACTAAATTATGCTAGATTTTATGAAAATGGTGTACACAGAAATCTACATTACTGAAATTACACAATATTTTCATTTAGTCCATTTATCCAGCTGTTCAGACAGTAACTTTCTGTTCAACCTAGCATATTAAACTGAGCACTAAAGAATCCTGGAAATCTACTTTTTCATGACATTTAATGCTCAGTAATGAGGTCAGCTGGCCTGAAATTAAATATCCTATGTCAGAATATAAAAATAGTCATTTTTTCAGATTAAAAATTCTCTAATCTACTGTCTTTATTTTTCACAAGCCCTAGAAAGCCTTAACACAGGTATAGTTGTGTTGTTGCTTCCCAAAATTGATAATTCAGTAATATATTGCCTGTTTGTTCTATCTAGTTCTATCTGATAGATATTTTTATTTAGTCTCTTTTTAAAAGATATCATAACAAAGCTCATCAATTTGCCTTCAAAATTAATTCATTTTCATGGAACACAAATGGAAGGATTTTGCAAAGAAAGTGATGAGTTCTCGGTCTTTGTCCTCAGTATCCTGCCCAATAAAGACCTAGCTTTTTATCCAGGTGTTTCAGTAGGGCAATGGTGCCTATGGCTCATTCAGGAGGATGCCTGAGGCACAATCTTGTTTAGCTTTTGTTTTTTATGGTTTTTGTGGTTTCATTGTCGTGAGTTGCCCAGAGTTGTACTTTCAGATGGGTGGCCATGCAAAATGTGTAAATAAATAAAATAAATAAATATGATATTGAACAATTTTGAGTCCTCATATTATGAGCAAAAGAAAAACATCATTTCATACTGCCATTTTAACATGCTCCATGCATAACTATAAATCTCTGCCATATGTACATTAAAAAAAGAAAACCAGAGATCTAATATGTACAGCATTTCCTTGAAGAAGAGGTTTTTCAATCCCCAATTTCTCTTCAATGGCTCCAGCTTTGGGAAAAGCAGAATAATCTGTAGTACCCAATTCATATGATGAGCTTAGCTGAGCAATGGCAGAAGGGCACAAGCACATTGTACAAACTTTCTAATGCCCATAAATGGCCTGCTTAAATAACCTAGAGGAGATTCGATTTAACCTAAGCAGAATTCCTCATACTCCACTTATTCCTCCAGTGTTGTGTGAACAGTTTATCAGGGAGTTAGTTAACTCTCTTCACTCCCAAGATTGAGACAGTGCCCTCAGGATCAGAAAGAGTCTGGTAGCACTTTTTCTGACTTTTGTCAGAAAGCTTTTGTGAGTTGTAGTTGTTGCTTCAGCTTCCCATGCCAGGCTAGGGTGCGCATGTGAAAAAGGGTAGAGCGGGAGAGGTAAGAAGATCCCACCCCATCTCTGGATACGAAAAAATAAATAAAAGCAAAAAAGCCAGGAGGAAAATAACAACTCCAACTGGCATGAATCCAGCTAGAAAATAAACTGCTATACAGATTGTATAAGGATATTATAATATTGGCAGTTTTATTTCCAAATATAGTCATATGACTCCTTGCAGAGAAGGTGCTGTTAATTCAGCATTTTTTCAATGTCGCAAGTGATTGTGGGGATCTTTTGGGGAGAAAGGAAACAGCAACAGCCATGTGATAGAAGCTACGGCGTGGGAAGAGATTTTTATTTTGGACAAGGCTCATAAGAGGCGCAAATGATCATTATGGTAACTGTATTGTGAGGTTTTACATTCACCATTCATAATTTTAAACTTTACCATGTAATTACATCCAGTACACTAAGTGGCTGGACTGAAGACCAAACTGGATGTTGCATATAAACGTTGCAAACATTTAAAATAAAGTAGTTACAGCAGCAGCAGAGGAATAATTAACCCTTTTCTTCTGGTGATTTTTCTGCTCAAAATTGGTTCCTGACATAGAAACTTTTGCTTTCAGGATTATAAATTCATGTTTTTGGAAGAAAAAAAGCCAAAAGGGTCAACATCCCACCCCTCAAAAGGAAGAACATATGGAAATAAAAGTATAAATTCAGACAAAATCCTTCCGTGTGATGCCCAATTTCTCCCACCTTATCCACCTACAGTTGGCAAGTTCACCTGAAAATGAACCCACAGATTTCTCCCTCCCCAATCAAGGTATGCATAGGATGCCAGTCCAAAAAGGTAAAGAGGAAAAAAAAACAATTAAGTTAATTAATAATTACCAATTGAAATTGATTACTATAAAACAAGATAGCCATCTGCATATCCCAACTATTCTCTCTCACACATGCATACACATCACTTTCAAGTACTGAAACACACTACTTTTGCAGCAGAAAAGAAAATGTTCATATCTGTAAGCAATTGTGAAATTATTAAATATTCCGTTTTGCCTGTGCACAAACTCTTTTTAGCCTAACAATGTCTTTGGGACATTTCATCTGCAAATAATACACCCAGGCTGTTAAGTTTTTTAGTTATGCAAAAACCAAAAACACATGGAATCATTCATCCGTACCTCTTCATTTCTGTATTTTCCGAGCCAGTAAATTGGGTCACCAGGGAAACCTATAAATTTACCCTTAAAGAATGCAATGTAGAAACATGAAGAATAATAGTTGACAAATTGGAATAAAAACATCTTCGTAGTTAGGCTATTTTCATAATCAGTCTGCGTCCTTGGTAATTCTGCAGTTTATAAGCAAAGGAGAGAGAAATTGTTAATCCAAAAACAATTTTGTGGTAAATATATGTGTGTTATGGTGCTAAATAACATTTAGGTTTAGATTATTTGGGCTTTTCCAATGTGTAATTGTTACTATGTTCACTTCTGTGATCATGATATTGTACATGTGTGTTCTTCTAGCTATTCAAGGCTTTCCTAAGGGGAAAAGTGAGTGTCCTTTTTTGTTTCCTGAGAAACTGGGTGTTTCAAAACATATTGTGCCAGTGGTGGAAATAGGCATTCTATTTAGACCCTTCAAAAATGTTTCTGAAGATTACATATAATGGAAGAATGGATGGTAAAGTTGATGGAACTAGCTGAAATGGTGACATTGACAGCTTTGATTAGAGAAAAGACATTGACTAATTTTAATGCTAATTGGAAGCCCCTTTTGGACTTTTTGTGGGAAACAAAAAAATGAAATTATGATATATGGATTTGATTAGTAAAATTAATAGATTATAGAAAAAATGGATGTTAAGTTGTAATCCTAGAGTAAGAATTTAATGTATGTTTTACTTATATCTGCTATAAAAGAAGTTGGAAGTGATTCTTTTTTTGTATTTCTGCTTCTTTCTTTTTCTTCCTTTTTCTGCACTTCTGTTCTCCTTTCTCTTTTCTTTTCTTTTCTCTTCTTTTTCTTGATTATTAGTTGTTAGTTTTAATCTTTCTGTTTTTAAAATTTAATAAAGGTATTATAAAAAAAAATTCCAAAGAAGAGTTTTAGAGTAGACACAAAGGTGAACACAGCACCCCTCTGCTATTCACGAAAACAACCCAACTTTTTCCAGATTTCTTCATGTGCCTGGAAAAAAAATGCTGCTGCTTTAAGGAATTCACTTTTTAAAGTTAAAGCTACTTTTGACAGGTTACCAGTATTACTCCTGATACATTACTGTGGATGTTGTGTAGAATTATATGATAACCTTACCAAAGTCAGTAATCATGATTGCTACTTTCTCATAGATAATGTTCAGAATCATAATTATGATGAAGTTGATGACTGAAGCAGATACTGAAGTTGCTGCTTGTGGAGTCAGGTACTTTTGTATTGTTTCCGTTCCATTGATGTGCCTTGGCAGTGTTGCAGAAAACACCAGGAAAACAGAAAGTCTGTAAACAATTATGCCAATAACTGATGCAATAATGAGCAGAATCTAAAAGGAAAAAGCAACAGGTACATTCTTAACTTAGCCATATTTTCTTAAGCATAACAACTTCCTTCATAAGCATATTTTCTTTGTTACATTAAGAGACTCCCAATTAAATTCTGGGACAAATTATATTTCTGTCTAAAATTCACCCCCTAAACTGCAAAAGAAAACCATTTTAGCACCCTGAACTGATTGTAGTGGGAACTAATTATAGAAGCACAAAATTCTTGGCAACCCATTGGAAACCATGAGTCACTGGGTGTAGGTGGCATCATGTCATTCACCACAGATACAACAATAGTTACCCAAATCTATTCAGTGACAGCCAAAAGTTACCTCAGGAAATGACAACCTGAAACATGACCATAATTACATTATACATGCTCTATTCTCTGGTCTCCAATATTTGTCTTCTTGTTATCCTGTTACCCTTTTAATTCATTTTTTTTCTTTTTCAAACTCATTTTTCAACTGATTTTTTTTTCTTTTTCACACATTTGAAGCTGTTTCCTTGGGCGTTCCCAAATATTTTCCATGCTTGGCTTACATTCTCTTAACTTTTAATTGAAGCAGAAATATGGAGAAGATTAAGGACTATCTAACTGAAATGAACAGCAAAAAAGAGGTATTCATCCATAATATGATACTGTCTGTGTCTTCAAGTCAGTGTTGACTCCTGGCGACTGCCTGGACAAGTCCCTGCAGTTTTCTTGGCAAGATTTCAGAAGTGGTTTGCCATTGCCTTCTTTTTAGGCTGAGAGTGAGTGACTGACCCAAGGTCACTCAGTTGGCTTTGTATCTAAGGTGGGTCTCCCTGTTTCTAGCCATGTACCTTACCTGCTATCCCAAACTGGCTCTCGACATGACACTGAACCACACAAATAGAGCAACAAATACTGTACATGAAGAGGGAAATAGAGAGAAAAGGGAAAGCGACTTTGCTTTCACTGCATGTAACAAGGAACTTAGTAAAAATTAAGAAAAGTATTTAAGGAAACACTAAACTAAAATTTCAAACCAGTCAGTATTAAAGGAAATCAACCCTGATTGCTCATTGGAAGGATTGGTAATGAACCTCGAGCTCAGATACTTTGGG